CCTGGGTCTCCGCTCACCAGACTTGCAGTTTGATCTTCTTCCCCTCTATGTCCACGGTGCGGATCTTAAAATCAATTCCTAGGGGCAGAAGGTGGGCACTGAAGTCAAGATGTATCCCTCTGTGTGTGTGTGTGTGTGTGTGTGTGTGTGCGCTCGCGTGAATGTGTGTGTGCACAGACAGAACAGAGCAGCACAAGTGCAACCTCTCTGGACATGTGGGGCCAGGAAAATTCCCCCAAAACTGTGCTAGAAGCAAGTCCAGTGTGCTACTGAGAGTTTCATGGAAATTTAGAAGACACAAGTGGATGGAGTTATGCAGAGGGCTGAATGAAGGTCAGGTCAGCTGACAAGAACCACATTTCCGTGTCCTCCTGAGTACCACTTCCACATTCCTTTTTCCTTCCATTTCCTTCGGGCCCTCTGCTGATCCTATTCCACCATCCTACTGAGATGTAGTTCAGGGTAAGGGAACTCGGTGTAAGTCTCTGTGAGGTAATGCTGGGCCAGGTGGGACCTAAGAGAGTCTGAGATGTTAGGGGGATTCCTCTTTCTAATCAGAACTGTCTGCGGGGAGATTCCGGGTCCAATTTCCCAGGGCACCGAAGACCAGAGAGCTGCAGGGTAGGAAGGGGAGGCCACGTACCACCCCTCCCCAGCCTCCCCTCCTCCCTCCCGCTGCTGGGGCCCCAGGGAGAAGGCTGAGTCACCAAGCTGACTCAGAGACCCCAAAGTCTCCCGGTTCCCATCTTCCTCACCAAGCCACAGCAGTTCTCGAGAACCGGGTGCCACCCTCTGTGTCCCAGTAAGCGCAGGGGGGAGGGAGAATGGGCAGCAGATGGCAAGGAGGGGACGCAGCGGGGCAATGTGACAAGAAGAGGTCAGGAGAATGGGGAGAAACGCTGGGCTGAGGACAAGGGACTTGTGAGAGTTCCAGCTGGCTGGTGGGGGAGGAGCTGGAGGGCCAACAGGGTTCACGTGGACCTGGGCAGGGCTGGAAGGTGGCACCAGGAAGGCAGGGGCGGCAGCTCCCTGGGCCCGGGAAGGAGGCTACAGGCTTGGGCACCGCGCAGAGGCACGGGTGGGGGCGGGCCTGAGACAGGGTGGCGGGATCCCCGGAGATCAGGGGTGCAGCGGGATGCCCGGAGCACGAGGGCACAGGCAGCGAGGCGCGGGCTTCGGCCGGCGGGCTCACCGATGGTGGAGATGTACGTGCTGTTGAAGTTGTCCTCCGCAAAGCGAATGATCAGACACGTCTTGCCCACCCCCGAGTCCCCGATGAGCAGCAGTTTGAAGAGGTGGTCGTAAGCCTTGGCCATGGCGACCCGGGCCGGACGGGGTGGGAGGGCAGACCCGGGGGACCGCAGCGGAGCGGAGGCCGGCGCGGGCCCAGGCCAGGAAGC